CGAGTGCTCGTTTGCAAACAGCGTCGCCTGTTGCTCGTGAGTTGCGCAAGCTCAGAGCAAACTAACGAGCGAGCAAGGGGCTAAACTGAGCAAATCCGAACTCTGGGCTCAGATGGGCTACCTGGCAACACTGATGTACTATTTACTGGCTTAGCCCGGTCTCCAACCCGTATTGAAGGAATTTTTTTTTCGCTGTGCCAGAGCAAGTGGTGAAACTCACCACAAAACCACGAAAGGCACCTTTTACGAGATTACAAATTCCATGGTGTGTTCGGGGAAACAGCGATCGGTCAATTTGTGCTACGTTTAAAGGTCTGTTCGATGCAAAAGCAAATGGCATCAAATGTAATTAAATAAAATCTCACACCGATGGTCGCCTTCTACAGATCTCCCTTACCCCAAACACGAAACCTTACGCTGAAATTCATAGAAAAAAAGCATTTTTAAACATAATTTAAGAAGAAATTATCAAAATGGGTATATAGAGTTTTAAATCAAAGAAAAGTTTCAAAAAAGCGTATTTTTAAAAAGTCGGTGTCAGGGGGCATAGATCTCCAAAAAGTGTAAATTTGATACTTTAGTAGCACAACGGGAACACTGGTTTACAGAAAACAGTTGCGTTTTCGTATTCTCCAGCAAAAAATATCCAGCAACTTGCCAGTAACCAAATTTCGGAAAGTAAGCTAATGTTTACTCCAAATGAGGGAAATATGCACGAAAGTACGAAAACGCAAAACCAGCAAGAAGTTGCTAGTTTTATGAACAGCTGTTTAATTTGTTATTTTCCGATGCAGTTTTCTAAGAAAACTAGTATTTTCCATCTTATTACATATTTAAATAGGTTTATTTCGTCAATTGCAACTCTAAAAGCACCATAAACAATTATTTTGTTAATATGAATTACATTAAGCATCATGCCATCAGCTGTTTTTCTTACTAGCAAAATAGCTGCAGTGAAAATTTATCCAGTAAAAATCCAGTAAAACTTGCAAGTTCAGCTGTCATTTTTGCTCTCTCAATTTCCGCACTTTTGCTAGTTTCTTGCAAGTTTTTGCGTATGAAAGCGACATCCAGTAAAAACCAGTAAAATTAGTACTGGCAAAAAAATAGTAATCGATTGATTAATCGAAAGCACTCAATTAATAATTGCAATTAATCGTAAGAAATTAACCGATTTATCGGTCATTTCGATTAAAATCGAAAATTAATAAAAACCATTTATAAGTTACAAGAAACTGACTTATACCCCGTGTCAAAATTACAGCGCACGACAAGATTTTTTTTGTTCCTTAATTTTTGTCATTTTTTTAAATATAGCTCTTTCTTTAGCAAAAAAACGTATAAATATAAATATATCAATGTGCAATATTAAAAAAATCAACAAAAAATTCCAGCTTTTTAATTAGATTTCTTATGCAGAATTTCCATTGGCATTGAAATAATTCCATGTGGAAATGAGCATAATGACAATTTTTTTAACGTAATGACACGATTATTTTTTAATGCCGAACTTCGTCATTTGTCATTTTTGCAATTTAATGCCTAGTGGAAATCCGGCATTAAAGTTTAAACAGAATCAAATCGCCCAGAGAAATTCGTCGGAAGAAAGTTCGCAGACAAAACTGAAACACACCGCAGTTTATGGAATTGCACACAACAAATGTGACGACGAATTTCGTGTGACGAACTTCGGCAAGAATAGATTTATTTTTAATTTTGCCGCTGCCGCCGGCCACAAAATCAGCTCTCAGTGAAAATGGAGCTTTGTTTCCCCATTTTTCTATCAGATAATTATCAGCGAGAATCAGAATAGCAAAATTTGGTAATTCATCGTTCGCTTTTGTATTTTTATGCGTTTTTATTTGCCATTCAATTGATGCGAATTTCGTTTCTGTTCTGTTTTACTATAATAAATAGACATCACTAGGGCGGCAGTCCCAGGTTTACCAGACAGAAAGGGAATTCTAGTTACCTCATCATTTCCCAAGGCTACATCCCTGAGGCGATAGCCCCAGTTGGTGCACACCAAAAGGAGAATCCTATTTGGTAAGGGTTATAATCCTAAAGCGCGGCCGAAGGCCTCCTACGTAAAAAAGAGTTTTGTGAAAAAATACTGTGGATAGTGTAGCCGGTGTTGGACAGACTAGGGTTGTTTTATATAAATACTTTTTACAGTGAGAACTCTTGACAGTATACTCTATATCAAATAAAGGCTTGATTAATTTTCCATTTAATTCTAACACTCAATCTTATAACAAATAAGGTGATTAAAAAAAAAAATGGTTTGTATAGATTTCTTTAGTATTTTTTTAATTTTAATTAAATTTTTGTAATAACTATTTAAAATATATGTATATGTATAAGTTACGTATATCAAATTTTCAAAATCCATCCAGTAGTTTTTAAGTAATCTTGATTTCAAAAATAGCTTATTTGATAATTCTTGTTGTTGCTGTTTGCCCAAAAAAATAAGTATACCGTTATACTTAGCTCAATCACCTCTATCGATTCCAACTTTTTATTTTTTTTTATTTGAGATTTGGAGCCCTACTGCATTTGTTCCATAGAAAATTCCAATACTGAAGTATGTGGCACTTACCACCGATTTTTGGCATCTTTCTGTTGGGTAATGGTGTTGGCTATTTTCTTCCATATAAAATAGAAGAAAATGCGCAACGCCGAGTTCGGAAAACACATTGAAAATATGTGCATACCTGAGTTTTGATTTTTTAGCAGCAACTTAGGTTAAGCTTGTGTTGCGGTTTTTGGCAAAAATGTCGTTTAAAAAACTTGCAGAATACGAGAATGTAAAAACATCCAACTTACAGCCATATTCCGTCACACTGACAAAACTCACCGCGATGACAATTGATATAAAAATGACAATTGCAGCTTTTTGGTATTCGCAGCAAAATTCAAAACTCGAATCATGCCAATTTTCATTTTATTGTCATGACCTATTTGGCAGGTGACAAGGCAAAAACATATGTTTGTGTTGACATAAAAAGTGCGACGATTTAATAAATTTGTGAAAAAAATATAAAAAAGACTAATTTCAATGGCAGAACAAATTTTAGTTATTTGCGCAGCCGTGCTTGTGGAAGACGAGCAAAAGCTTGAAAGGAAGCGAGCTTTGAGGGAGCTCAGGGACGACAGCGACCCGTTTTCGATGCAGGAGATAGTTTTTTATCCAAAATTTTCGCTTCCTAAATCCCTTTGTCGTGAACTAATGCATTAATTGGAGCCACGCGACCATCAGAAGTCCGCCATCCCTTTTCTAATAAGATTTTTGGGGAGCCTGTATTTCTACGCGCATGGTTCATACCAGAAGTGTGCAGGAAACAACTTCCAAATTGCGATGAGCCAGCCGTCCGTGTCGCGCGCCATTCATCACATCTCAACGCTAATAATGGAAGTTAAGGGCGGCGAAATAAGGGTCCCCAAACCTTCAAATGAGGTTTTGGAAGTTAAAAAGCGGTAATAAATAGAATTTTTTAAAAAAGGTGAATTCAATTTATGTTATATCATTACTTTCAGCTTTTATACGGCATTTAAGATTAAGGGAACGATAGGTGCTGTTGACTGCACGCACATAGGCATAGTCGCTCCATCATCAACAGACCCAAGTAACCCTCTATGCATGTATATGAACCGGAAAGGTTTCTACAGCATTAACGTAGAGGCTGTAAGTGTTACTACATATTTTTTTTTACATACGGTAAATGATAGATAAAATTAAAAATCAAAGCAATGACAATTCTGTAAGAAATCTAATATATTGTTATACAAGTTTCTTTCTCGATAGGTATGTGATCATCGTTTGGTGTTCACGGCTATAAATGCAAGATTTCCAGGATCCTACCACGACTCCGGTATTTGGACTACATCCCCAACACTCCTTCANAAAAAAATACCATGAAAAATATTTTGAATATTGCAAAAAAAATCGATGCAAAATATTTTTGTAAGTGACTGTATTGTGTACAGCAGTGCCTATGTAACTATATAAAAAGTTTTAAATCACTGTTTGAGATCAATATAAGATGTTATCAGTATATANCACGCAAAGGCTCGAAATTGCGTAGAAAGAGCTTTCGGTGTTCTGAAATCAAGATTTCGGTGCTTAACAAAGCACCGTATTTTGCATTATTCCCATGAGAGAGCCGGGAATATTATATACACAACATTCTTTTGAAACACGGCTCTGCTGCAGACTTGGGTTTCGAAGCTCTGGACGAATTTGAGGAGGATGTTGCCACTAACGAAGTTGANAATCCCGGGATTTAAATCGACTAATCCCGGGATATTCGGGACATAAAAAATACCGGGATCCCGGCATTGACATCCCTAATAAGTACATATCGTTGTTTAAAGTACAAAACCACGTATCGTCCTTCTGCAAAAACGACGGCGGTATACGATATCNCTCGTTTTTGCAGTTTAATAATTCAGCAACGATGTAACCGTACGTTTGCAGCCCTGAAGATTTTTGGTTTTAAGGTTTAGTTTTTCTTTTAATTTACATTTAAAACTTTCACCAAAATATCAATTAATATTATCATTATTAATATTTTTGTTATTATTATTATTACATTTTACTATTATTGTTANTTCATAGTTCTGGTTTGTATAATGTATGTACATAAGTAAAAATAACAAAAACACAAATACATGCATAAACGTCCCACTGGGGAAATAGATAAGCTCATCGGTAAGGTACATATAGATTTTCGAATTCAGTCTTGTACT